AAGGGACAAACCAGAGAAACTGGATTTGATTATCTCTGTCGTTAGCGAACGTATGGCTAGTATTGGGATCAGTAACGACTTGAACGCCATGAGTGAAAGACTCGGTCGCATGGTCAGTGGATCATCCAGAAATGGTGATCTTGTTACTCCTGATGACCTTGGTGCAGGCGGTGCTTCGACAGCATTGATGAAGGATGCTATAAAGCCCAACTCGACGCAAACATAGGAAGGAACCCCTGTTTTAGTTCACGAAAAACCATTCGCAAACATCAATATCGGTGGTAGTTCATTCCCCGCGGATAAGCCCCCTCCTAAGCTTTCTGGTATTAATCTTTTTGAGCCCCCCCCCCCCCCCCCCCCCCCCTCCTACCGTGCGATAGTACCAAGAAATCAACCCCACCCCTTTCCCGCACAGATTTCTCGGACAGGGGCGCACTACGTTCGGAAGTCAACACAGACCAACCAGTCATCTCCCTTTTACATGCGCTTTGTACCTGACAGCGCAACGTCTTGACATGGGCTTCGAGCCTTGCTCACTAGGCTGCCCGTCTCTCAACCTCATCTACCAGTTTTTTTGCCTGAACTTTCGTGGTGGCGTCTACATGCGGGATACACTAACCAGCCACCCCTTGTGCTCGACTACGCTGTATCGTACTTCGTACGACGGAAGGAATCCTAATCCTTGCAACGGCATACGAGTGGGCCATGTAAAAGCTGGAAGGGAAAACAGCAACACTAGTACTTCACACACGTAAACACAAAACAACCAATAAAAGTGTTTTTTCAAAGAAACAGCAAGCACGTACGCTCTCAGCCAAAACCACGGCAGTCTCCATGAAATACCTCTAAAACTGTTTGGGCGGGTGGGGCGTGAGGGCGTGCGGGCCACGATAGCCCTGCAGCACTTCAACGACGACGTCCGGCGCTACAAAACAACACCACCAACCGAATCTCAACAACCATCCTCACACGGTCGTGTATCCCAGGCAGCCAAGCTCAAGAGTGATGGTCAGGAACTTGAAAGCAGCCTCTTTGCTGGAGTACTGTGGCAGGGACATCCTCCGATCGCTGTAGGTGTGTGCGGTGCAATGTGTTGTACGTGTTCCCGGCGGCGCAAAGGCAGCGGTGGCGGCGACACGAGTTACGAGAAAGAAAGGCACAAGGAGAGGAAAAGGGGGAGCACCAGTTCCGGGTCATTTTCTTTCAAGTCGAGTCGAGGGCGGACGAATCAGGGCAGGGACGCAAACGACGCATTGTAGAAGGCATTTCGCTACCATCAGCAGCGGCTGTGCGCACAATGCAAGCATGTGGTGCAAGAGACACAGCGACGTAAATTTTTTTTTGTTTGTCTTCACCTCAAATCAGCGCTCACAGCACTATAATAGTGCCGTTTACTCCAACCCGTGGTCACACAGAAGAGCCTCTCTCTACCGTCCCCTCCTGCGGTACTTTGCCTTCGATTTTAATGCGAGAAGAGTTCAGCACTCTCTTCCCTCTGTGTGCACACGAACTAGCGCTATCCGCTATAATATCCAATGTCGAATCGGAGTCCCCCGTCTTATCATTTCCTAATACCAGAGCCACTAGACCTGAGCTCGGACGTCGCTATCGCAGGGATTTCTTTGAGCATGCCTGGTTCATGTCCCCAGCTAAAACCCCTCTTTATTCTTAGCTCTACTTTCGACGCCGCAGATGATTAACAATTCTAAAAGTACAACGCTACGATGACACTGCAATGGTGGTGGGGTGCGGCCAACTTGGAGGCATCTACCAAACCAATGTTCTCAAACAAACATATAGGGCAGAATTCCGGCACGCATCCGGTCCAACCATCCTCCTGGGGCGCGCGATCGTATGGACAACAAATTTTACTGTTGTGCACGTCCCAGCACCCCCACTAGCCAACTGCTGCACTTGATGATACCGTAAGAGACGGAGAGAGAGAGATGGCACTCCCCCGAGACCGATTTTCAAAGCTCGATTCGATAGCTCCACAACCAACGGAGTGCGGAAAGAACCCGATAATGTTATGGGAAGCCCTCGACGAGATGTTTTCCAAGACCACCATTTTTGGTGTCGGCACAATCATTCAATTGCAATTTTTGTTGTGGAGCAATCGAGCTTTGAACACCAGTCTAGAGGGGGTGCCATCTCTTCGCCTCTTGCGGTATTCGCCTCTTACGGTATGGTATATAAAGCAACAGGTGCCCTTACCACGTGGAGGCCGTGGGACACACGTTCGCGGCAGGTCCCTTGTCAATGGCCCAACGGTGATCCTCGTTGAGAGCGTCGTCTTCTGATGCACATATTTTTCCCATCCCATCCCATCCCGTTCCATCCCATCCAATCCGCCGGACAAAATAAGTCAAGATGTCGTCATGATGGTGGCAACAAGCAGGCAGCAGAGAAATTAGTTGTGGTGTAGTGATCGAGGAAAATATCGTGTGAAAAGAGACGCTGAAAAAATATATGCTCACAGTAGTGCTGATGAAGGGCGACAACTAGTTCTCATACTTCAACAGGCAAGACAGGTTGCGGCAGTGCACCTTCAACAAGCCGTTCGCAAGCAGTGAAACTCCGGTTAGGACACGCAAAGCCCTCGGACCCAAGAACCGCACACAAAAAACAAGGCACAAAAAAAAAGAAACTGCTACTTGTGGAAAAAATACAACAAAAAAAAGGAACATGAACTTTAGGGAGCGAAGGAAGGGAAACGGAAAAACACACGGCAGACCGCGTTTAACTCACCGAACCCGAAGGGCGGCACCCGGCTACTGCCTGACCAGAACAGCAGCAGCTTCCGACGATCGCTCTCCGTGAGCTCATTGGTCCACTCCCAGAACCAACGGATCGACTTGTGGCTGCAGCCGAACCCCCCGTCGCTTTCCACGTACCTGGAAGAGCAAAAAAACAAAATGAAAATAGCTGTCTGCAGGTAGAGCAAAAAATACAAAATGAAAATAGCTGTCTGCAGGTTTTAGCAGAGCTCACCCGTCCCCCTCCAGCGTGCTGCCAAATACAACCTTGTGGTGAACAGCTTTGATGTTGGTGCTCTACTTGAACGTGTCCGAGCTTGCGTGGAGTATGCGGTATCCAATGGACGGCCCATGGGCCGTAGCAGGCTAGGTGTGCCCCTTCATCGACCCACGGGTGCCGTGGGCAGCCCATGCGTGTCCAGCAACACGCCCACGGGAGGTCAATGACGGTCCATGGGCGATCCATTGGCGCCTCATGGTCCGTCGCATATGTGTTGATAGTATCAACAATGTACAATAATGTAGCGTGGCAAGGTTCTTGACACCCGTCCCTGTTTTGTGTTCAGCGACGCTCTGCGGGCTTAGATTCCACCTCCTACCAGTACCATCTCTTATTTTCTCTTACCAGACGTTGGTCCGGAGTTCTGACAGGTTCACCTCTCCCTGGGGGCCTGACACGATGCTCGCCACCTGCAGGCCAACACACAACACGTACGTACGACGTATGTAAACGGAAACGCCAAGAAAAAACATCATGAAAAGTACGTATGTGGACAGAAGCGATATAAAAAAACAAAACAGAACCCGTAACGTACACGTGGGTAATATGCGATTGTGAATCATGAGAAAAAACACGAGTCGAGCAGAGAAAAATGGGTGAACGATTGAGCGCTTGGTCCAACGACTTGTGGGCGGGAGTCTAATACAGGAAGCGTCACCGAAAATATTTTTACCAGCGTTATGTCGTGGACAAACAAAGAGCATAGAGTACCACGACACATGCAAGCAGTGCGGTAGCCTGGACAAAAGGTGCGAGGTCAAAACCACCACACCCTCAATGACGTAAGACCGACAACAGACAGAGCAGTCGAACGTCAACGCACAAATTGCAAACAACGCACACACACACACACGCAAGCGTGAGTGAAAAGAAACGGAGGGGGGGGCAGGGGAGCCGCGAGCAGCCACAAAAAGCGCTGCGAACCGGAAAAAAAAAAAACGAACACGCAAGACGCGCAGAAATAACACGGGTGCTATCAAAACGGCGCGAGAGGAACGAGATAGCCGCATGTCTTCTTCACATTCCCCCTCCCCACCGCCACCACCTTGTAGGCTGGGCCGGCGAAAACCCGGCGTGTCGCTCCGTCCCGGCGGCATGCGACACCAACGGTCTAACGACTACGGCATGCGTTTGGCATGAACATACACACGCACACCACCACCATGAGCACAAACCTCGGGAGGCAGAAGGATCGAAAGAAGGTTCTTGGGGATCACGTCGGTCATGCCCGACCGCAGGGCCGCGACGGCCTTCTCCGCCCCTCCCAGAGCACGCCTCCTCGTCGCCAGGTTGACGAACTCCTGCTTGTTCTTGTCGGTGACGCGCTTGTTCTCGCCGCCCGCCAGCAGAGGGACGTCCGTAACCTTATTAACACGCATGTACAGCAGTCGCGAAGGCCGGGGAAAGGGAAGGGGGGGGGGGGGGGGGGGGGGGGG